AAAATGACTGTGAGTTAGCCTTGTTCTTTTTGTTCTCCAGATGCACAAAGAATTAACTAGCAGTATCTCGTACATTTAAGTTATTTTTGTTAATCAAATTTAATACTAACATAATTTATATGAATTAGTTTTCTATTAGACAAAGGAGAAAAACTATCGATTACAATTGTACATGTTTAAATTATCATTATTAATCTGATGCTTTCTAACTGAATCTACTAATTTGGAGAAAAGAGAGAATATTTTTGAAACCGCTTGAAAGTTGAGCGTATTATAATAACAAGGTTTTATTCACCATTTGCCTTGATTTCATCTTATTTACAAATCACTGAACCATTTTCGTAATAAAGATGATATACAATTTTTTTGGCATCAAATTACTATTCCCTTCAAGCTTTTTTAATAACTTATTGCTTGCTTTGAGAATTCTAATACTATAAAGAACCCAATGACATGAGCATAATATATTATATAAGATTTCATTTATATTTAAAGTTACATACAAATTATAATAATTCCTTGTATGGGGATATAATACATTTTAATTTTCGGTTAAATTACCAGAATCATTAGTTGGAAGTCGGATTAAAACATATCATCATCAATTTAAGCCATCAACCAAATTTTGTACCACACAGCAATCATAATATGACTTAAATATTATTATATTTTGGGATGTTGCAACTCACATTCATAGAATTGTAAAAAATAATAATTGCCATACTTTAATTCAATTTATATGCTTTTGCTGATACCTACCTCAGAATATAAAAATTCACAAATCAAATTAAACTAGTTCCCAGCCTTTTCTATACTTTTAACAAAAAAACTATTCTTTTTTTAGAAAGGCACTAGAAACTTTTATGTTGAAATATTTGATATTTAAAATGTAACTTTAAGAATCAGTAACGCCAATAAAAAAGTAATTTAAATGTTACTTTAAATTTATAATAAAACTTATCAATTATACCTCGTAGTTCGTTGACAGTGACAGAGGTTCCACCACAAACCTTTCGTAAATTTCATGTCAGAGAATACTTCTTTTATACTAGTTTACAAATAATATTATTTTTCTAATATATAGGTACATTGATTTCCATAAGATTTTATGGGCATATTAACTAGAACCAATAACAATAACATGTTAAACAAAACATAATAAATTAATTTAAATGTATAATTGCAAAAAAAATAAACAGCTTTAGTATAAACATTAGCAAGAAATACACACTTACTGTACGTCTTTACAATAAGAATGTACCCAAATTGTGAAACTTTAATGAGGACACAACTTTTGTCTCTTTGTTGGTATGTAAAATAAACTAGGTCTCAACGCCCAGACAAGTGCACGTTTGGAGTGACGGAAAATTTTTAGCTCAGCGGTTATTATTTTTATAACCAACAATTCTACTATTAAAAACAATCATATTAAGATCTAAAACATAAACTCGTAATAAAATAATACTTAAATTATACACATATAGGATTAATATCATATAATCTGTCTTGTTATCTCTGTATATATTCCAAACTCACCTCTACATATGTTACAGTAAACATGTCGAATTTCATATTCAAGTTGTTTCTGTTTCACTTATAGCTTATATCTTCTTTTTCACTATTTTAAATTTTCTTTTGGAAATGAAAGAAAAACTTTATTTAAAGAAGATTATTATTACTCAATTATTCTTTTGAAGGTATTTCAAAGAGTTTGCAGTAACGAGAGGGAAATGAAAGAATTTGTTTGCTCCGAGTTTGTTAAGAGATAGTTCATAGAGTTTTGATAATTTAATTTATTTTTTGCATAAACATAATCTTGTATAAAATAGTTTAAAATGTTAGGATATTATTATTGATACACATAATATGTATCAAGTGTTAAAATAAGTTTTTCTATCTTTTTTAGAAATTTTATTTGAAGTGTTTATCTGTACAAAATATATTTTTTTAAATAATAACGGATACAAATCCTCGTTGTCATTTTTACATTCCGTGATGCTTATACATTGACAGATGTGATGGATGTGAAAATATTGCATACGATATGAAATTGCCGAAATATGTTGATATAATTTTAGTATATTATGTAAGAATAAAAAAACAATCGTTACTGAAACCAAAATTGAAATTTTATAATATAAAATGTTAAGTTACACATTAGTAGTAGTCAATGATTCTGTTGAACATGTTAGATCCAATCTTTCAATACTCGGGTGTTTTAGACAATTCTTATAAGTGTATATAGTTTATAAATTATCTTGCCACTTGTTTAAGTGTGTTTTGGGTATATCACGAGAACATAAATATATTGTAAGACAGTAACTTGTGATCAAAGCCTCCACACGTTCTTAAAATGATTTTTTTATATAATATTTATGTTTTATATACAAATAAAATTCTTTAAATATCAGGTGTAAATTTAATAATTGGAACTTATTTGAAACTCATGTTCTTATCATTTATTATCGCAACAGCATTAACTTCATGATCGAAGTAGCTATTTCATTGTGGTTGCTCTATATTATATTCCTTAATTTTATCAAACAATGTATGTTGACTTAAAGTAGTCGTAGCTTTAATGGTTACAATTTTTTTGCCTTAACTTGGGTCGGCTTTGTGGTAGTAAAAAGCATTTATCTTCAGCTAAGTCCATTCCATTAACTACTGTGTGAATAGTTCCAGAAAGACTAATCGGGTAATGGGAATAAGTAAAGTAAAAAACTGGCTTATTTTTAAGATCCGATATTTTAACATGTTTTGTTATACAATAGGATGTAAACATATGTCTAAATGAAATATATTTATTTATCATTTCGAGCTGTAGAAGTAATTTAATACTGTTTAAATGACTATGAACTTAATATAGGATTCAGCATTCTATAATTTCAACGATAAATATTTGAAATAATTTTGACATAAAATTGAACACTTCATAAACTTAAATCGATTCAAAAATACTATATTCGTATCTTTATATATGAGACGCCATTTTATTTAATTTAAAACCGTATTTATGATATGAAAGTTGACTTTATTAATTATAACATTAAATAAAATAAATCTTTTTAATCATTTATATATGTATATTTAGATTTTATTAATAAATTGGTTTAATAATTTAATGTGTCCAACATTCTCTCTAAAAAATATTATTTTCTTTAATTAATTTTTAATTTATTAGTAGCTGTTGATACAAACGTTTTTTTGAGATTAGATTTGACAACTTACTAATATTTCAATCATTCTGTCGCACTTCAAAACACGGAGATTTATGGCTTTAATAGGTAAACTCCAAAAATATAAATAAAAAAAACCTAACAGATATTTCTTGATTTTAGGGCGATACGAAGTTCGCTGGGTCTTCTAGTTTTATATATATAACTTGGTCTCTTATGCAAGCTTGTTGTATTTTCAGTTATATTCAATCGAATTTAAAAATAAAGTTTCATATATATATTTCATATCTAAGCGTTGTTAACTTAAATGTGAATAAAATCGGAGTGTTGTGTTTTCGTAATATTCAAATATAGGAAAAAAAAATATAATTTTATACTAATTGTTCCACCATATACTAAATTATTTGCCAAAAAACAAAATAACCCTTTAAAAATTTCAAATTTATTTTACCTAAAGTGAAATAAAAATGCTTCAAATAAAATATCTTATATTATTTTCTTCTGGAAATTATATGCGAAGTGTAAAAAACTTATTCCGATGAAGAAATATAGTATTTTTGTTCTTAAATATTACTTGTATAAGACTAAATCTACTAAATATGGTTTCATCTCAGTATTATTGTTGACTATGCATCAAGCATGTACACTAAAATAAATGTGTGTTGTCATTTGCACGACATGTTTCTTTATTGGAAAGCCGGCCTTCACATATCAAGTCCAGCAAAATGTTAGCCATGAAATATGAAAAACATACTTATTCACAACAATAGTCTTTTTACTTCAAACAACTTTATATAGAACTAAAGAATTAAAATTAAAATTCCTTGTAGTATTACCTAAAGAATCTTTAAAGAATGAACTACATATATCCTCGATTCTAAATTACATTGAATCAAATATAATCGCAATTTTTTTTTACCAAAGAGTAACAGTTTTTATAAAATAGTACAGTTTGTTTAGTTTCAAGAAATATCGGTACATTAGAATATTTAAAACTATCGAGATACATATCTGCCTAGTTTATAAAGTTACATAATCATAATTGATTACTTTGGTATTTTTTTAACAAAAAAAGTATGAATTCTTAAGTTACATCAGGAAGATTGGAAAATTCGATGTTTCGAAGATCTATTTCCTTTACATATCATTAGTATTCTTTATATATTCTGTGAAAGTAATAACATTAAATATATAATAATACTTATGAAACTTAATACTAAATTAACTCCATTTGATGTTTTATAGTAATAAAAAAACATTGCTATAATTTACACATGACACACTATAAACACTATATACAATTAAGTCAGTGGTGGTAGTGGTTGTGGTTAAAAGGGCCGCCTCTCATGCATGAGGGCGCGGGTTCGATCCTAGCAAGTACCAATGTGATTTTTCCGAGGCATATGTACTTTCTGAGTAATTTCACAATTATAAGCTTTAAATCACCAACCCGTCTTGAGCAAGCGTGGTGATTGATGCATTCCCAAAGAGGTTGATGTCAGGCAGGCGGCCGGTCGTTAAAACAATTAGCCAAAAGTATTTACAACATGCAAGGCAGACCCTGACTAAAGCTGGGAAATTGCCAAGAAGAAGATAAGTAAGTAATTTAAAAATTAAAAAAAAATAATTGATCACAGCCAGTTTCGCATGTTGCCATTCCCTATAGAATACTAGATACAAGACATTTATTATCTGTAAATATCAAAGATACTTCATACCAGAGTCATGTTACATAAGTTAAAGATTTTCCTTAGGGAAAAATATTTTAAAATTTACATATTATAATAATTACCTTTACGGAATCAATTAAAAATACAACTCACCTCAACAGCTATAGCCAACATGAGATGTAAGACCGGTATAAGCAATAGATAGACTCCGTTCTTGTTGAACAATATTCATAACTTCTATCTCAATGAAGTCAGCCAACCACTTCCATGGACAGAGAAGTAGAACCGTCACGAACACAGCTTGAGTCATTAATGTTACTACCACGTAGTCTGAAATATGAGAAAATTACATATATAGAACTATAGAAAAAGTCATTATCTATGGAGATAACACTTTTATTTTATAGGTATGTCGACTAGACTATGTGCTTCACTTTATTTACTACTATACTATATCTGAAATACACTAACAATTAGCATAGAAAGGTTGACGGAATCGCCATCCCTTTGCTTAAATACATGCCATAATTAAGGACTGGAATTATGTAATTACAAATATTATTGTATTTTTCCAACACAAAACTTGTTCGACATCTGGATCACCTTCAACTGGTGTGAACCTGAAATTAGTTAAATAGATTGATGAAATAATTGTCTGCTTTTATATTATATTGAAATATTTCTATGCTAAATTACATATAATTCTTACCATATTTAAGATTGAAGCAGATAAATCAATGCCAGATGTATAATAAGTAATACCAAAACTTGTATAATCAGCGGCAATATACTTGTCATAGCAACTAGAGAGACGAGAGGTGATTGTTTTGTAAGTATCGGGCCGGGAGACGCTCTGCCTAAAGATAGTGCTAGCAGAGTTGTTAGAACTAAATCAGTGTATAGGAACTGATTTTTGCCCAGTATTGAGTAAAACTGAAACAGATAAGTAAGTAAGATTTAATATTGGAATACCACTACATATAAATGTAAACTTTGAGACAAATTTTATCATTTTTTTACTCACATTATACAGTATAAAAATGGAGAAGAACTGTAGAAGGATGTGATCAGAGCACAACGATCTTCTAATACAATTTCACACATGTTCTGTTCCTGCGATGTAAATGGAGCCGCCACTGAAAATTTAAAAATTTATTTAATTAAAATATATAATTTTTCTTAAATAATTTCAAATATTAAAGTGAAAAATATATTTACATATATACTTTTTAATACTGTTAATTTTTATTTGTACGCCCTTTATACTGTGTGGCTTATGTAGTTATGTATGAATTATTTTGTAACCTGCCTTTAATATCGTGACAAACCAATTTTTACAACAATAATAATCAAAATGCTTTCATAAAAACTGTATAAAGGTAATAATTATTGCTATAGAAATATACCTCTGAGAGTGATACACCCACGTGAGCAGCTTTCAGAGCGCCGCAGTCATTGGCCTCGTCCCCACACATCCCCACTATGAGATCTTCCGCCTGTAGGGCTGTCACCAACTGGGTTTTTTGGTCTGGACCGAAACGACCAAACACCATCCCTGAAAATTTATTTAAAATTAAAGATGACAAATCTAATGGATTCATTTAGTGTTGTTTATTTATTCATTTTTTTTTTGATGAAATGTCTGAAATTTAACACAATATCTTTTATAATATCAAATACGCATTTTGTTTCTCCTACCGTATGTTAATTTATTAATATATGAATTATATAACACTTATTTTAGTTTTCGTTATAATATTATGTATCTTAAAGTGTTTTAATCTCCTAAATTAATTTTATATTTATTTATTTTTTCGTAATAAAGGCCTGTATTGACTACAGATCATTAAACCTTCTATATGAATGTAGCAGATATTGAAAAACGTTCACTGACCTCTATTAATGACGGACGGCAAGAGTTCAGGATAGTGTATACGAAGAACAGCCCCTGCCTTTCCTTCCATGGTCCAAACATAGGCATCAGCCCTCGCCTATTACCTGCAAACAATATTACAAAAACATTATATTATTAAGATAAAAGATTTTTATTATATAAAAAAATAAACATATATGTATTAAATATAGAGATTCTTTTTCTTCTTCATTCTTTTGACTGATAAAATTAATGACTACTGTAGCTGTTAAAAATCCTTAAGAGCTTGCGTTAAAATAAATAAAAGTAACTCTAGGTTGGTTGATGAGTCAGATCTGATGATAAATCTGTTGTAATTTCACTTTACAGAAACTTTTAGTTACAAATAAAGTCTATGGTTATAGTCTAGATAAGGATATAGTCTATGTTATAAAAGTAAAAATAACTAATCTATGACCTCCATAGCGAGCCGCGGTCTGGTGTCAGTCGTTTGTGGTGGGCCCAGAGTTACCAGCAACAGTTTCTGATGGGGCTGCACCATGTTACATCCACGAGCTACAGACATGGCCGTCATTATGCCCTGAAACAGAAATGTTAATATAGTAAAATTAATGACGCGTATAATAAATACATATATTATTTCTACTATATTTTTCACTATTATATGAATTCAAAACCATTCCAATAAAGGTAATAGTTGTATAGGATTGTCAATTGACGAAAAGAATGATTTCTAGCTTACCGGTAACCAAAATCTGTCTCATATTAGCCGCGTAGGTCTTTAATAATATGTGTTGTTTCCGGTTTAAGGCTATTTTGCATGGCTAGAAAGCCTAGAATCAAATTTCAAAGTCTCCTTTTTAACGCGCTGTTTCTCAGTCCACTTCATTTTCCGATCTAGTGTCTTGTATGCTAGGCCGATCACTCGGAAGCCGTTGACGTGTAGTCGTTAAGTATTGCACTGAAATTATCCGGTAGTGACGCTGGGTCACACATTCCAGCTATCTTCTCTGGAGCACCCTTTACGTAGTAAACCATTTGCGGCTTCTCAAATATTCTGGCTATGACGCCCATGGATCGTTGAAACGATGAAAAGTGGAATCTACGTATTAGACCAAACTGGAATGGTTATCATATGTTAATACGATTTGAATTTGATGCTAGAATTAATTCGATGATTATGTAATATTACCTCATAGGATACTTCTATTTCCATAGTGAAAGGGTCATATGTTTCCAAATTTTGCAAATCCATGTTGGGGGTTGTTTCTGGTTTTACAATTGCTGGGGTCAGGTTGTCGTATTTTTGTTTTCTGGACCTGGCTTTTCAAGATCCTGATTCTAAAATATATAGGTAACAATTAATTATGATTATGTCTATTTAAAGGTTCCAAAATCATTCCGAGACCTCAGAAAACATATACATTCCTGTGATTTTTTAAATAATTTTTTTAAACACATTCTTCTTAAGTGACTTAATTTTGCAGTCCAATTTCTTTGTATACCGTTATAACTTTATAAACTACTATTTTTTAGTACCTACCCATTGTGTGAAACATCATTAAATCTAAGGAATCTCCTTTCAGCTGTCCCTGTATACTTGTGAATGAATGTCATGTAGCCAGCACTTGTACCAGCGGACTCATTCTGCAGTGCGGAGACATTCTCAACACAATTTCTCGCCTCTGTTGTGTGGAATCAAGGCGTACAGATCCAGGCCGTCCTCAGTCAGAGTTCCCGCCTGTAGAGGTTTTATATAATTTATAATATTGTATTTATATATTCATTTTATAATTATATAGTCACAGAAACAATCATAGAATATATGATGTCATTTTTATTCGTATTTTGGTAATTCAGATTTAAATACTATAAAACAAATGTAATAACACCAAGGTTAGGTCTATTAGGACAAAATAAAAGATACATTTATAGTATGAATTCAAGCTCACCTTATCAAAGCACATGACCTGTAGTTTGCCAGAGATAATAATTCGTGGTGGTGATATACAAAATACTTTGTTCCTAATGAGTCTTTGCTGACTGTACACGATACCAGCGGCCATAGCTGCTGGCAGCGCTGGTGGTACCACTATCGTTATTATATCCAGAGTACGAAGAACTATCGTGCTAATTGGACTCTGAAAGAAATAATACATAAAATCAATTAAAATTTTATCATTACATGTTTGTTTTAAAACTAAGCTACAAGAAAATTCAGTTTCAATCTATTATTTGTGTATATTTTGTTTTATTTACTTACACCTCTGACAACATAGAGCAGATACAGAATATGACGAACATGAATATGACGAATTGAACAGCATCCTTGTAGAAATGGAAATCAAATTGTTCTGGGAATAAAATACTCTTTATCAACTCTCTTTTGGCACAAGTACAAATTTTGCTAGAACACAAGGTACAAATTTTGCTAGAACCTAAAAAAATAAATTTTATCAGTACAGGAAGTTATAGATATGATTAAGTAAATTTTGTTCATAAATTCGATTTACCTGATAGTTGCCATAGAGAGAGAGAGTATGCCGTTTATGAGTTTCGGGGTCGAATAAACCTCTTGGGAAATGGATGGTGGGTCCTTCATTACGGGCCCTTCTCACCTTAAATATAAAACAAAATGTATTAGTTAATGACAAATGCATAAAAAAAAACAAAGTTTACTCTATTTATCAAATATTTTGTTTGAGAACTTAGAGTAATTAAAAATTATGGCAATATAATAAATGAAATTTATTATGACTGCCGTCCGTGAGTCCTGAAAAACAAAATGGCTTAGCCGATAACAAAAAATAAAAAAACTAATTCAATTCATAAATGAATTATCATACACTAGTAGTATTCTTGGAACGTACTTGGAAGGCAGCCCTAGTAGGTTCCTTTCAAATTTGGTTAAGTAAAGAGAGGAGCTTGGACTGCGGAGGTGAGCGTTTAACGTGAGTTAGATAGGGGTCCCTTAAACCTACACCTGGGTCGCAAGTCCCAAGCACTGTTGAAGCTCCTCTCCCTGCAACGCGATGGACCCGGCACCCGCACCGTGAATACATTGAATGTTAAGATTTTTCTCGTCGATCGTATATACTCACCGGTCAACATGGATTCGTTGACGATGCACGTGCCGGTGACCAGCGTGGCATCGCATTGCATGACGCATCCGTCAGATGGCAGCACCATGATGTCACCGGGCAACAAGCGGCTCGCGTTCACCACACACTCCTCAGGTGCTTGGTCGGTCGTAGTACTGTCACCGTGAACGAACTAGTCGAACCAGCCATGCGATGCAGGTTTCTACTTATCTGTTAAAATAATAAATATAGATAGTGAATCTTAATACAAATATAGTGGCATTAAGTTTAACTAGAACAATAGTGTTGTGTTTAGCAAATATTTTATCTGAATATCGGTATAGCAAAAGGGTACTGCAGTCGGTGTATCTAGGTTATTTAAAATGAATCAGCTGAGACGTTACTATATGTAATTTTAACACACTTTATATATTTATATACTTCTAACTGAGCGCAACTCTGTTATCCAACCTGACTGAGTCGTCGGCAAAAACTAGGATATATACGTAGATTGCTAAATTAAACTTAATTGAAATACAAATATTTATTTTAAACGTTGCTCAAACAATACTTTGTGAATTGAATGTTAAATTGTTACACCATATTTATTAAAAACTTCAAAAATGGTCTTTAAAAGAAAATAGTATATATTCACATACGTTTTCAAATTAGGGATAATTAAGTCTATAAAAAATCTAATATTACGTAAGACATGACATAAATAACATGTTTAGACTAGTGACCAGTAATATCGTAACAAAAGTGTGCATTGTAACTTTCTTCAAATACTCTAATTACGAGTATATATTAATAGCCATTACCCAATTCCTTCCCATTTCCATGGAAAATTTCTAATAACTATTTACACAGTTGTTACCGCAGTAGGCCTGGCCTATAATTAATGAATTCCAATACCACAAAACTGACCCCTGTTTAGGGTAAAAAATAGTAGACGTTAGAACAGCCTTTACTTCAAGTCAATATGTGAAGTTTGAAAAGCAACAATGTTTTATTAAATGATAAATATCATAAATAAGCGTTTTTTTACAAAAACTACACTTATAAGACCCCTTTTGATAACATGCGAATAATTTTAGTGGAAGTTAGGTATTCTAATACTAAGCGCTTTTATTATTTTTAACTACATAATCCCGACGTTTCGTTTCCTTTACGGCAAGCGTCATCACGGGTAGATGAGATGAAAACGTGATCTTATAGTTATAAAAATTAAAGTTAAAAATTGTTTCCTGATCGCCAAAAATTATAATAATAGTAATAATATTACTTTTTTTAACTAATTTAAGAAACTTGGTAATGTGATGTCGAATATCTTCTCAGTATAAACGAGATATTACGAGTCCTTTTAAAAAGTGAATAATCTGTTATAAAGGTTGGTGATGCCATCGCTAACTTTTCGGTAAAAATCTTAAACTTATTTTAAAAACTCTTGTGAAACCATTTCATGTAACTTCTACGTATAGCATATAAAATAGAAGAGTATTGTAAGTTAGTAATATATGTTATATCTTTTGAAAATAATATTTTACTATTTTATTTATTGTACTTACTTAAATTTTGTTAGTCCGAAGAAGAAGTACATGTTGTAAGACGATGATGTTTTTTCTCTAATCTTCTTATTTTCTTCCAATAATGTTCAATTAGTTCACTCGAATTCATTTTCAGGTTTGTTGTAACTTTTTTTGACACTTACTGTAAGTAATTACGAGTCACTACACAAGACTGATGGTTCGACTTCGCAAAGGCACACATAAACTAGAAGGTATACCCTCACAAAAAAAAATAAATAATAAATCTAAAATCGTACGGAGTTGCTAATATCAAAAAAGGAATCACATTGAATTAATATATGAAGAATGGAACGATAAAATATAATGAAAATTTGTCAACAAAATAATATTTTTCTTGTAATATTTTTCTTTATTTTGATAAAAATAAAACGGACAGTATTAATGTTTTTTTAAAGAGAAGGGGATTTACATTTCTGCTTTTATAGGTTTGTTCCGTGTTACGTGATGTATGAATATGTTTTGTGTAATTAATCTTGAATCAAAATCAGAGGAAACAGTTAATATATATATTTTACGGTTCCAAAGTTCTGTTTAAAGAAGGAATATCCAAAAGCAGCTTAATTCAAAAGTTCCATAGTTAGTACAGTAAAATATGACGCATGTAAAATTTTGTTATAGTATAATTTCCAAATTTTTAAACATCTTATCCAAAGCTTTCGAAATATTATATATTTATAAGAGAAATATGGAAACGAGTACTTTGAATAGAAAAACGTTTTTTCTCCTAATTTATCATTATTCTTCAATATTTGATGATGGCCTCGCGATTATAAGAATATCTTGAATTTTTCTTGTCACTGGGTATAATAATTTTAGTGGTAGTAGACTAATAATCTATTTAAAGTATTGTATTATTATTTTTATTAAATATTCAAATCACCACTCGTAACATAATTTTCCCTCAAGAATTGAAAAAGCATCATATTTTATTTATAACTGATAGGTATATAGGTTATATATTTATGAACTTGATATTTAGGTTAAAATATGTTGTGCTAAACATATTCCAATTTGGTTTGTCTATACAGAAACACAATACATTACTGTGGAAATTATTCAGGCTTGATTTAAACGTTATAAAGACAGTCCACGTGTTAATTACAACAACAGAGCAGGAATAAGAGTAAATGTTGCGAACACAACCTCTCCAAACTTTGTTGGCATGCAAAATAGAAGCTATTGTGTATGTCGATGTGCATCAATGTGGAATAAACGTTTATAACATTGTGTAATCCCATATCCAATGCTATGTTTTGCACAATCTTTAATATAAAATATTCTTTATTTTTAAATACTTATTAAGACAAAACACGACGACCTAAAATATTTCTCGTCTTCTTGCTACATTATCTGTAGTTGAGTGCAAATTGCATCAGTACTTTTTTGGTCCCTATCTATATTTTCATATTTATAATGTTGTATTTTACAAAACAGCTGATTTATATTACACTATATAGACCCTAGACTAATTGTTATTGCAAAAATTTTTATTTGCTGCAATTTTATATGTTTATTTTTTCATCCGTTTTAATATTTATTTATGACAATTTTATTTTCAAATTATTTGAAATCATATCCTGACAAATATGACATAAAAAAAATAATCAAAATTTTAAATAATCGGCACTGAACCAGAAAACAAAAATTTATTTCTCCTGTAACAATTATATTCCATTTTATTAAACTTTCAGACTCGGAATCCTGCCAATCGCCATTTATTTAGATCGTCCCTGATACAGTGATGAGACATGTTTCATGAAATGAATGTACTTATTTTTGGTGCAGCTTATAAAAGAATAAAAATTATACTATAGTACTAAAGATCAAGACAGAAGTCAGTGGTAGCCTCGAGGCTAAAAGACCCGCCTCTCATGCATGAGGTCGCGGGTTCGATCCTGGCAAGTACTAATGTGATTTTTCCAAGTCCTATGTACTTTCTAAGAGTATTTAGACATCACTGATTAATGCATTCCCAAAGAGGGTTGATGTCAGGCAGGCGGCCGGTCGTAAAAACAATTAGCCAAAACTATTCACAATATGTAAGGTAGACCCTGGCTAAAGCTGGGAAATTGCAAGGTAGAAGAAGAAGATACCAAGTACAAAAGATATTTTTCTAATATGAAAATCAGTAAATTTTATGTACTCATTGTTATGATTATAAATGTTGATGTAAATACGACACACGATATTTTCCCAAGAAGGGTCTATCGAAAACTCATTAAATTCGGTGTTTTAATTTAAGTTAACGATGCAGCACGGTATTTATCATATTTAAGTTAACAAAGGCGTATTAGATATACCCCTTAGCTTATTCTGTCTTTGGGACAAGGGAAGAAAAATATTCAGCTTTAAGCAAACAGGATTAAATAAATAACTTATCATCTCTGTAAAGAGAATATGATTCTATTCTGGGTAGCCCACGTTGCATTTTATAAGCAAAGTTCGGAACAAAAAGTAATAAACACTGTGTGTTGTTACTGAAAAAGTTATCTTTTGTCTCGCCTCGAAATGACAGTAGAGAAATTCTTATGTTTTAATAACAACTTTATCAAACGTAACGTGCCTCATATTCTCCAGTTAATTAAACCTTCTTCATAAATTTATTACAGATTAGTAAAATAATTATTTGTAATTGAATTCTTCTTAAGAACTTCCTTAACCATACGTATATTTCTTTTAATATTTTATTATATATCCGTCACTTATACTAGCTTCTAATTCTGAATTCTTATAAAATTAGGTTGCTTCACAAAAGTAAATAAATGTATAATTTTATATTTTTATGACTTTGTATGTATCTACTTGTTTTCTTTATCCTTTTGCCTTCATCAAAAAAACCCAAGTCAAACTACTAGTATTGGTGTATCGTTGTGGATATTTCGGGTGGCCTGTCTTGTAGTCTAGATTATATGAATACTAATAAGAGATCGCCAGCTATTAGAAGTTCCTCGAAACCATGAGTAATTTTCCTTAGGTATTCAATACGATTTTTAATTAGCATTATATCTTTATTATTATTACAATGATGACATTCTAGATTTATCATAAAGTCCTATAGTTTAAGACTCTTCATAATCTTTTTATTAATATTTGAGAAGCCTTTTTTGTCCAAAAGCTTCATTTATTTATTAGTTATTTTACCTGGAAAATATGATTTATGATTTCTATTCTTCAATAGCATATAACCAATGCCAAGATGGTTCTCGTTATTGCTACGGTCTAAGCCTAAGCTAATAATATGGTATTCTGGGTGACAATAGGCCATCTTCTTCATCGTCTTCGAGATCTGATGGTGTTCAAATACCAATAAGTACCGTCTTGTTAAATGATTTGAAGTGGTAATAAAGTGTTTCAAATAAATTGGGTCAGCTTCAATGTAAGTAAATCTATCCGGCTCACAATAACGCATAAGAGAATATTTTTCTTATTCATTTTAAGTAATAAATACAATTTTGGTGATTTTGCACCTGATGGTACGACTATTTTTAAATCAATACTAAGTTACAGAAGATATCTCGCA